TGGAAACTGATCAAGGAGAGAAGAAATAAAGAGATATTTTCTGACAGTGAGAACAATCAACCCATGGAACAGAAGTTGCATTCGGAAGTTGTGGGAATTTCATCACTGGAAGCTTTCAAAAAGAGACTGGACTGCCATATGTCAGAAATGGTGCAGGGTCTGCTCAGGCAGGGGGGTCAGACTGGATGACCTCCAAGGTCCCTTTCCTACTCTTCATCTGTATCAGGAGAGGCCAACTCTGGGTGTCATCTACCAAGGACTGCCGATGTAATGGGTGGAAGAAATAAGAAGCTTATTTGTGGGTTGTCATTTCATGCGAGCATAGCAGCTGAAACCATCTGTAGAGATCCTAGGTCTTCATTTAACATCCTTGGATATCAAAGATGCTGCAGGGTTGGGGGTCTCCCTATTTTATTTTTTCCTAAGACTGGATTCCAAGCAACCTTGGACAATGAAGCTGATGTCTCCCAGAAGGCCGTGTAAAGGGAAGGTGGACCCAGCTAAAAGCTAGGGGAACCAACCCCAAACCCATACATTCCATAGTAGCTTCTGCATCTTCTTCAGCTTGGAACCAGGAATGGTTTGGGTGTGGAAGCCTGTCAGATTCCAGTAAGAGGTTCTCCCATGGAAACGTTGTTGGGACATAAAACAATAAGCAATAACATGCTGGATCAAAGAAAACGCCAAGATAAGTTTCCACATTGTACCACCCCAATAATGTGGCTTGTTTTGTGGGTTCAGCCACTGTGGTTTAGTGCGCCATTAGCATTTCATGTAAAGTCAGCCAATTGCATCATACTCATGGCGTAAGAGTGACTTATGAACCTGGCCTCAGTGCATGATAATAATAATAATAAAAAAATACCCTTTTCCCTTCTAATCAATCTTGGTTTCTGGTGACTGTATATAGCCACATCCCTGAAGTTGACTTCATCTCATTTTAGAAGTGGTTTGTCAATGCCTGCTGGGATTTATCTGGATTTCCCAATATGACCCTGTTAGTTTCTGCAGTTTTTCCCTCCACATATTAACCAGGCCTGGCCTTGTTTCGTCAAGAAAGGTCAGTCAAGTGCAGATAGAATCTGCTTGCTGTGAATGATTGGTGCTGCTTTTATCTGGATCAGGCATACCCAACCGTGGCAACTTTTAAGACTTGTGGACTTCAACTCCCAGAATCCCCCAGCCTCTCATGCTGGGGAATTTTGGGAGTTGAAGTCCACAAGTCTTAAAAGTTGCCAAGGTTGGACACTTTTTGGATCTAGACCAGGGGTGGGATTCTACTGGTTCGGGCCAGCTCTCTCTCTGTCTCTTTCTTTCTTCTCTCTCTCTCCTTCTCTTACTCTCTCACTTTCTCTTTCTCTCCTCTCTCCTTCTCTTTCTGTCTGTCCTTCTCTCTCTTCTTCTTCTCTTTCTCTCTCCTTCTCTCTCT